TGTTTCTCTTACGGCTGCTCTGGATTGTTGCCATAGCTTGCAAGCTTGTGTTTTGCTGTGTTTTAGAAAAGGTTTAAAGTTCTTTATTTATTATTATTTAGTATTTATTTATTTATTTTGATTAGTAGGTACATTGATAATTGATAAATCAGCTACTTCTACTCTTTTAGGGTTGTGTACAGTTCACATAGTAGATTGCATAGTACAGTTTTATTGTACAATAATACTCCAATGTATACATTTTAAAACCACATTACTTTACTTTTAGTCAAGCTCTTTTTACTTGGTTGTTATAATCTAATGTATTTCAAGATTTTCATAATATATGTTCAATTTTTAAGTTGCACTTGCTTTAATGTTTCAGGGCTATAGCACTTTTCTGTCCATTAACAAGAGCCTGTTTCTTAATAACAGCTATAATAGCTGATAATGAGTGTTCTGACCAAGACTCTAGCATGAATCTTTAATGAATGTTTGTGCAGATTCTGATGCAGAGGAGCTCAGACAGGAATGACAAGTGGAATATGCAGTTCACTGTGTACCGTTTTGAGCAGCACATGAACTGAATGTGGAAAAGTTATAAAGCAAATAGCAGTGGATGAAGAAGAACCCTTACTCACATGGATCATAAGTATGTTTGGAGACTGCAAGTGTGTGTCTCTGAAGGACTGTAGACTTGGTAAATCACATGCCAGTATTCAGGGTCTGCCTGCCCCCTTCTGGTTGTTTTAAGCAGGGACGTAGTGGACAATAAACTGAGCTTTCCTTTACCATGGCCACATTTCTGTAGCAGATATAATCACACAGAGTATTGATATAGAGCTGTTTCTAAGTGAAATCATAGATGCCATAAATATAAGCTCATGCACATTTTTCTAAAATTAGTGTAAATATTTTAACATTGAACTGTTTCCAAGTGTTTGGGCAGTCTTTTGTGCTTGGAGACTGGATTTATGACCACAGTGTTTTTAAAAGTGTGCCCTGCCGACCTGACAGGGCTTTTCTGTTGCCTAAAGAATCATTTTACTTCTCAAGAAATAACAAAATTTCTGGACTTTTACTTGGGTCAATATTTTGATATTGAAATTCATATATTTTAACATAAAATCTCACATGACATGAGCCCCGTAGGCTACGTGCACATAAGCATATTTATACTTAAGGCACACCTTACATGATGGCCTATCCCACCAGGACAGACTGGTAACTTAAGGTCATTGTCCAAGATGAGCAGGCAGGTGCCTCGGGTAACACATGACGTCACTGTGGTACTGTTGAACTCCCTGGCAGTAAATCTATAAAGGTGTGTAGTCTGCACAGGTAGCCTGAACCTTAGACCGAAGTGAAACCGGGACGCCAAAGCCTACTTGGAACACGGAGGCCTCTCATGCTCCGGGAGGTTTGACTCACCGAGGTAGCAGAGTCACTACCTGTGGGACGAGGACACCGGGATGTTCCCCAACTCCCAGTCGGCCAGACACCCGGCTCAGACCCTGTCACTGAACAGTCAGTACATTCCTCCGTATGACTTCAGCACCTACCATCACATCCCGGGAGTAGGTGACCCGTCGGCGAGCGGATGGAACTCCGTTTACGCTCCCCGGGAGGATTATACGTTCAGCTTCCCGGGGTCAAGCCCCAGCGCCGGTCAGGTCGGCTTCACCTCCGCGGAGCTGAGCGCCCCCCCCCCCGCCACTGGAGGAGGCTCGTTCACCCCGTACAGCTTCCTCTCTGCCCAGGAACCGTTCAGCTCCAGTAGGAGACCACATGAAGCCATCAGACCGTCAGTTTCAGGTGGGACTTTATCACAGCTAACACAGTGGATATAGCCTCATACAGCATGTTTATAGGTTGTATGGTGTGATATAAAGCCTACTGCACTGGTCTGAGATAAATAATCCATGTTAAGATGTAATATAAATGTATGCACTTGCTTAGGCAAAACCCACTTACAGTATCTTTATGGTGCTGATCACAGATCAGATATCTTAGATGTCAACAGATTAAACTAGAAGGAGGCATGTCACAGTCATGATGGATGCTCAGACAGTCATCATGTTGGTGCTGTTACATTACGAATTAGTCCAGTTGAGTAGAGGTGACAGATATGATAAAACACTTTTACAGACAAGAACAACTTCAGCTTGTTCACAGTTAAACCACACAGCTCACACTTTCATCAGGCTTTTTGCCTCTGCCTTCCACCAGTATGGTGTAAGATGTTAAACTAACAGTGCAGGCCACGGATTCTGCAGAAGTGTCCCTCCCCACCCTCTCTGTCCACACCGTGGGTGCATAAGCATGACAAACTGGCCAGATAACACTGGCTCTGCAGGAAGTCCGCTGAAGCCAAACTGCTAAAGGCAAACGTTCATTCATACACGATGCTTGTGTGTGTGTGTGTGTGTGTGTCCTTGTGAGTGTGTTGTCTGTGTCAAGTGGAGCCTGTCACATGGGCAAGATTTCCGATCAATAACTCTCTGACTTACCCTTTGCTAAGAGTGTGTGTGTTTGTGAACATGCTCGTCAATGAATAGCTGCCTGTGTAAACACCTATGTAAACACTACTCACAGTGATATGGAGAACCACTGATGCAATGCAGTGGGGAGTCTTTACATGACTTATAGGTAGAGTGATTAATAGTGTTGACGAGTCTTTAAGTGGCGCCTGAACTTGAACGTGGCACCAGACATCTTCCAATTAGTCTGTTGTTTGGCAAGGACTCACCCTGCACCCACTCACTGACATTATAATCATTGTTACTGGTTAAAGCAAATACAGACACACAGACAGAGATAACACACCTTTTCCATCAGTCATTTCAACATGTGTTGATTGTTTTACTAATGGAGAATTATTTTTTGTATTACTCAGGAGGGAGGACACGCACTAAGGACAAGTACAGGGTGGTGTACACTGACCACCAACGTCTGGAGCTGGAGAAGGAGTTTCAGTACAACCGCTACATCACCATGAGGAGGAAGACTGAGCTGTCACTGGCACTGAGCCTCTCTGAGAGACAGGTGAGGAGCAAACTAGAGTTAAGGTCAGGTCACAGGTAGAGGAAAAGGGAGGAAGCAGGTGTCTGTTGTTGTTTCTGGAGAACAGCTAGGAATCAGAGAGAAATGACTGAAAAAGGCAGGTGCAAATGTGAAACCAATCACAAGCAATTCGCTATTTTAAGTGATGGAAAGCTTATTTTTATATGTGAGTGTCACAGCATACTGTATAACTGTGTGGGATGCCAGCTGCACAGCATCACACAGGAAAGCTCTGCAGAGGGCGATTGTCACGGCAGAGAAAATCATAGGCTCCTCTGTGCCCTCCCTGGAGTACATCTCTCACTCCCAGTGCCTCGGCCGAGCCAGGAAAATCATACACGGCTCCTCTCACCTTAGCCACTTGCTGCTCACTTTACTGCCCTGCAGTAGGCGGTATAGAAGCATGAAAAGCAGAACAAATAGACTTGCAAAAAGCTTCTTCCCCTGGCCAACCACAACTCTGAACTTCTCATAGAACTGTTACATTATTAGTGGAGCGTGTTAGTTTGTTGCTGCTATTTATTATTGATGTGACTGAGGTGTTTGTGACCTTATCATTTTAATTTTTTTGACGGTGTGTTTGGAATATCTGGTGCTTTGCTTGCACTTTAACTTGCACTGTACACAGTTGTAGCTTTTTTATAATTTCATTGTATTGGTAAAGGGCATTCTACACAGCACACATTAGCAGAAAGTTGTTCGACAATCCCATTTGGAGAAAGTAGCTTTATTGCAGAAATGTCTATAAACCATAAGGTTAAGTGGCCTGACGAAGCATTTCACATACATAGTGTTAATGGTAAAACAATCACTTGCTGTCACGAAAACCTTTATTGTTATTGTGGCTGTTTGTTCTGCTAGCTCACTCAGCTTGTTAAACCCACAGCTGAGTGCGATGGTTGCAGAGTCATTCTGGTAAGATTGGTAATCACTAAACTCAAGCAGAAGTAGTTGGGGCAGGGCGAGGTTAGCGTAAAAAGCTAAATCATTACCGTTTGCCATAATGACTAACTCCCACTGACGATAACAAAGGTGCACGGCACAGGAAAGGAAAATATAAAAAGGGTTAATCGCCTTCTGTTTTTGTTAATATTTTACCTACATCCAATAAGAGTCCTTGTTTAATTGATAGATTTTGATGCTGATATCTCATGTCTGTGTGTATCTGTGCTTCAGGTGAAGATCTGGTTCCAGAACAGACGTGCCAAAGAGAGGAAGATCAATAAGAAGAGGCTGCAGAATTCCCAGCAGGCCTCCACGACGACTCCTACCCCACCCGTCCTGGGAGGACCCTCTGACAACCACATCACCACCAGCCCCAGCAACATTTTGTCTGATGCTATATCAGATGACTACTAAGTGGATTTCATATGGAGGACTGATGCAGTAACTGAAGTGTACATAGTGTTTAGTTTTTATAAGTTTACCACAAAATGAAAGAAGATGATTCAGACCAGCATGAGGTTTTAATGAGGCACCTCCTGCCTGGACACAGTGACAAGCACTACGTATCTTTTGCACTGTTCAATTCAAGTCAAGTCCATTTTTATTTATATAGCACAACATCATAAATCACAAGTTTGACTGAAGGGTCCTTATAGTCCGTATAACAGACAACACCCTTTGTTTTAGACCCATGTCTTCGGCAGAGAGGACTTCGTGAGCTGCTGAGGAAACAGCATTTTCAGAAGTTCCTCTTTGTTGGCATGTCTTAAAATGATTGTGTTTGATAGAATGGTCAACTATTTGCTCTGAGAACATCACATATTTGACTGTTTCCTTTTTCTACTTCCTCCAACTGCATGAGAAAATCTCAAACTCACACAAGCTATAAATAAACATGGCAAATGCATATGCTGTCGATAAACCAAGAAACCGCCCTTCTGCTTATTTTTATAAGTACATTTTAGTTTAGGCCTGTTGAGACTGTTCCAATATATTTTAATGTTATATTTTAAAATACAGCAGATTTTGTCAGGGTCAGAACAGTTAAACTCTAGACTTATTTCCATCATTGTCCCTGGTGGTTTCACAGTCCATCGAGCTTTGTATAAGCACAAACCACTGACAACTGAACAAACAGTCAGTTAAATGTGTATCATCACATCACGTGGGCAAATCTAATAATTAAGTTAATTAATTAAGAGTAATTATTTTTTAGCTACATGTCC